AGACTAAGATCAGGTGTCAGTACTCTAAGATTATATTTATAAAGTATTTATTTCTATTTACATCACAAAAAAATCCCATAAATTGAGTCCTGGTCCCTGGCCAATGCCTCCCCCAGACAAGGGAGAGCCTTGGTGGTGAGCCGGGGAGATGCCTTCCCCAGTACATCCCTGGCTTGTGCCCAGTGGCAGTGGAGCTCTTGCCCTTGCTCCCTGCCCTTCCCCAGCCATCTGCTTTGCCCTCCCCTGCAGCTTAAACAACTTCTCCTCCGAGTGGTGGCTGGACAGCCCACCCAAAGAAGGCAATTCCTACCCGCCCATCTACCTCTGGAAGGGAGGAGCCTGCTGTCTCAGCTGGCCAAGGCACCCACATCCATGCAGATGGGTCACCGCACTTTCAAGCTTGGTCCTACCAGAGGGAAGAGGAGAGCTCTGGGAATGGCTCTGCCTGCCACCCTGTGCTGGGCTACCCTTTCCAACCAAAAGAACGTGGGCCACCTCCACTATCCCAGCCCAGGTGTCTTGTCCAAAGGGATTTCCCACTCTTAGGGCAGGATGCCAAGGGTCCCATCCCTGCAGGGAGTGTGAAGGTTCAGGTGGAATGGGAAAATTCTCCAGGAGCTGGGGCTAGGAATGACCATCCCAACCAACAGGATCCTCGTTGCCCTTCCCCAAAAGGGCTTGCACATCCCTTCTCCTCCCAACAGGACGACAGGCTCAAAGCAGGCCAAAGGGGCAGGGGAGGGGCTGGCCTGGGTGTGTCGGGGTGGGGCTTCTTTTTTCTGTTGTATCTGTGTTTTCTCACTCCTCTTCCTCTGCTGCAGAAGCGAACACCCACCTCCTCTCACCCTGCCTCCATCAGCACGTTAATCGGGGGGCTTCCCGTGTCAGAGGTGTCTTTGCTGAAAAGACCTTCTCCAGCCATCACTGCTTCCCACCTCCTCCAGCAGCAGCTCTCCCTCTCCTCCTTCTCCTGCCTCTCACCCATGGGTAGATGTTTTCATTCAGGGCTTCCCGAGTGGCCAGTGGTCCAGCACAGCTCCAGGCAGGAAGGAGAGCATCTCCCAGGCACCCCTCCGGCTTTGCTGTCCCTCGTCCAGCACGGCTGCGCCCTGGCTCTGCCGCACTCCCTGCGCTGTCTGTGGGGTGTGTGTGTGTGGGTGTGTGTGTGTGTGTGCGTGTGTTGGACGTGCTGCTGTCTTCTCGTTACACTTGTGTTGTGGGGGGCACGGACAGGTAGGGACGTCGCAGGCGGGCTGAGGCTTGCACGGGCCCCCTCACTGCATGTCAGGCGCCCTTTAGCCTGGGTTTCGCATCGCAGAAAGGGCTTGGGGATTCTTCTTGAGCACATGCTAGTTCTGCCTGGCCTCACCACAGCTCCTTGGGCATCTCACCCCATTGCTACAGCCCAAAGCTGCAGTGGGGCTGCTCCTCTCAGCCCTGCTCTCCCACCCAGGACACGCTCCCCATCAAACTGGGCTGTTTTCCTCCCTGTGATCCATTTTAGAGACCTGGAGGCCAACTCATGCCCTTTATGGAGGAAGAGGTGCCAGCCCAGAGGCACAGAGAGGCTGGGCTGGGGCAATGCAGGGCTCCAGGCTGTGACATCCTGGCTCCCATGCCCTGGACAAGGACTAGTTGGTACCATCCTAAATTTCAATGTAAGGGGCTAAGGATGGCAACAGTGGGTGCCTGAGGGGCAAGGGGAGGCTCTTCCAGCGTGGAGGCAGCTTCTGGCAGAGACAGGACCTGTGTCTGTCAGGGACCAGACACAGGTTCACTGGCCAGGGCCAGGCCGTGCTGCCTGTGCCACAGGCGAGATGCAGCCAGGGGAAGGGCTTCCTCTAGCCAGAGCCGAACCGTGCCTGAGGCCAGCAAACCTGCAGAGCAGACGGCTCGGCTGGGGGTCGGGGCCAAAGAAGAAAGGGCTGCCCGCCAGATGCTGCCGCGCCTGTCCCCGGCACAAGGGCCACCCCTGCCGTCTTACCAGCCGCACTCTGGCCAGCACCGCGCTCCTGGTCAGGACCCTGGCACCCATCCCCTCCACCACCACCGCCCCGGGACAAGGAACACAAAACGGAGGTTTAGGCACGACTGGGAGCCCCACCGGAAAGGAAACTCCACAGGGCAGCGGTGGCACGGAAGGCGGGCACCGGCGGGCAGGCCGGGCCTGAGGAGTAGGAGGGAGGGAGGGAGGCCGCACTGCTCGCCCTGCGATTCCCGCCGGGGTGGGCGGTGGGGGTGGCGGTACCGCGGGTCCCGGCCGTCCGTGCGCACGTGAGGCTTGTTCGGTTCTGAAATAAATGTGGCATTTAACGCAAATCCCGTGCGGCTGAGGCTCCTCACTGCGGCCGGCGGGGGGGGGGGGGGGGGGGGGGGGGGGGAGGGGGGCCGGGCCGGGGCCGGGCCGGGCCGGGGCGGAGGGCGGGCCGGAGCATCGACCGGCGGCACCAACCGGCGGCACCGACCGGCAGCACGGCAGCTCTGACCGGCGGCACCGACCGGCGGCACCGACCGGCAGCACGGCAGCTCTGACCGGCGGCTCGGCCCCGCTTGCGACCGGCCAAGGCGGCCCCCGCGCTGCGCCCCGTGGGCGGGGCCCGTGACGTCCCTTCCGCTCCCGCCCCGCCGCGCCGCGCGCCCACTTCCGGCGCCGGAGCGGGCGCCGATCGGCGCCGCGGGGCTTTGGCGGCGGCGGGAGCGGCGGCGATGGATCTGTTCGGGGACCTGCCCGAGCCCGGCGGCGCCGCGGGTGAGGCCGCGACCCGCGCGGGGCCGCGCCGCCCTCCGGCCTTGCCCGGGCCCGGCCCGTGGCCGCGCCTGGGCACGGCCTGACAGGCCGCGGGCCCCGCCGGGCCTGCTGCAGGTCGGCCCTGGGTAACGGGACTCCTGCAGGGAGCCTGAGGGGCGAAGGGGAGGGTGAGGGGGTGGGTTAAATATCACTGGAGAAATTGCAGGGTTTGAGGTTTTTTGGTGGTTTTCTTTTCACTTGGAACTCGGTCCCCTGCGGTTTAGACCGTGTTGGAGCCTTTCCCTTCCCTGTGCTGCTGACGAGCGTTAAGATGAGCTCAGTGGATTGCTAGCAAAAAAAAAAAAAAAAAAAACAAAAAAAAAAAGGCTGTTTTCTAGACAAAAGTTCATCTTAGCCCCAGGCTAAGCTTGTTTTCCTTGTGTAGCAGCTGTCAAAGTTTGAGATGAGAAAAAGGAACCCAAGGCTCTCCTGGTTTACCCCACCTGTGCTCGCTGGGGGGGGGGCAGTCCTTCCAAAAACCACCCCCAAAGCGCCTGCAATGGATCCTGACTCTGCCCTGGTGCCTTGCAGGGAAAGATGTCCAGAAAGGGCCTCTGCTCTTTGAGGATCTCCCGCCGTCCAGCAGTGCTGACTCAGGTATGGGTGCTCTGTTCCTACCATTACTTTGGCTTTCCATGTTTTCTGCACCAGCATCTCTTTGAGATGAAACCTGTGTAAACCCTGTTGTTTGTCAAACAGGCTTAAGATAGTGGGGTTATCAGTACTGGTGTGCAGACCAGCTGCATCCTGTATGGTTTTAAAACCGGGGTGTTATAGATGTTCCACACGTATTCTGTAAAACGTTTCATAGAAACGTTCCCTGAAACAAATGCTTATATTTGTTAAATATCACTTTTGTTAAATATCAGGCCTAGGTTTGCCTGACCATCCAGTGAGACAAGTAGAAGTTTGGCTCGCTTTGGTAAACTGACATAATTTGTGTACTTCAGGAGGGACATATATGGAGCATTGTTCCCTCGAAGAGACAAAGGTATTTAGTTCTTTTTGCCTTTTTCTTGTGCTCCAGGAAAAGGAGGCTCTTTGCTCTTTGATGATCTCCCACCAGCCAGCAGTGGTGACCCAGGTAAGGAGCTGTGTCACTCACCAGCCTCTGCTGAGCCACCCTTCTCAGGAAAGCCCACGATGCAGCCTGTTGTGTTGGACACACAGCAAGTTAACCTGGTGTCCGGGTCAGCTGACACTGGTCGTGGCAATCTGTTTGTGCCCCAGTTGTTTAAATCAGGATTCTGGCTCTGAAAAAGTAAAGTTAGGCCTGTTTCCAGAAGTACATCCCTGTCCTTTGGGGACCCCCCATTGTCTGTCTGAAAACTCCCTGTTTTGGGAGGGAAGGTACGTGTGTGCCCTGGTGCTGCCATTGCCCTGGCTACATTTCTGCTGTGGGCACAGGCTGCCTCCTTGTTCCTTGCTGAAAATGGCTTCAAACCCAGACTACTGCTCTGTCAAGGCTTTCTGCATGCAGCCATGTGTTTGCTTTCATCTGGGAAGAGGCGAGCTAATTCACTATACTGTGTGAGACTAAATCTTCAGAAAGAAAAGGCCAGAGTTCTGACATCATGGGAATCAGGTTTCGCTTGCTAGCTTTAATTTGTAACCTGTCTTTTGAACCACCTAACAAATATGCACATTCAGAGTAATAAAATGTTTCTTTGCATTGTTGTGGGCAGAGTTTATAGCGAAAAATAATAACAATAATAAATAAATTAGAAGTATTCCAACCTGTATTGTTAACTTCCTGAGCAATTAACCGCAAAAAAAGGCTGGTGGCTAAGAAAAAAAACAACCTGTGAGTTGTTGGGGAGAATCAAAGAGTCTGCCAGATAAACACAGCTGTCCTGTGTCTGAGGTGGACTCACACAGCGTGAAGTGGTAAAATCAGCACTCCCTGGGTTGGGCAGCAATGTGTGCCCTGGGTTGTACACACTGAGGGAAGCTCTGTGTGTGCACTTGTGGTTGGTTAGGGTTCTTGTTCTGGGCACTTAATGCTGTGTAAGTGTGTGAGCCTGC